GAATGCCAGTAAACTGTTTGCCCAGCCCCTGTTTTATTGGGTTCATTGAGGTTCTGATGGTCTTTAGTCTCATAATGGAGCCACATCACATTCAGAGGCTCCAGTGATCGGTCTCTGGGGTGTTTGTTGGTGAGAAAGGGGGGGAGTAGTGAAGAATTTCTCTCTCTCTCTCACTCTCGCACACACTTTCTCTTTTTCACTGTTTCACTGCTAAGTTTTCTTTCTCTTAATCCTCCTTCATGCAAAACGCACTGTTTACTGTGTTTGAGATGCTTTAAATAGACTTTTTGTGCATGTGTGTGCACAGGGGAACGTAGCCAAGCCTCTGTGAACAGACACTTTTTGTGAGTACAGGAAGTGTGGTGATGCTAAAAGCTAGCTTTTCATGATGAACGGCACACGAGTCGTGCACACAATCGTCTCCTCAGCACCGACTGTGCTCTGCAGCTATAACTGCTGGCACCACAGGTGACACTGTTGTGGGCCACCACAACACCTAGCACAACAAAACACAGTACAGTAATACTTCCAAATTGTGGTCTTTATTTCCATGAAGTCTGCACAATCCTCTAAAGTTCTTATTGTAATACAAAAGAAATGGTTTAAATAAAATCTGGCTTGGTATCTGAATTAAAACAAAGGAAGTTACTAAGGTGATGAACAGAAAAGGACGTGTTGTTTTTATTTTATAGACCAAAAGTCGATGGATTGTTTGGAAAAACATTCAGCAGTTTAATCTATAATCAGCATTTCTTTGTGTCCTATATAACACTTACACATTGTGGTGAAGTTAACTAATGGTTAACTGTTAGTGTATGTGGAGGTTAGGCACTCTTGTGAAACGTAAACATCAGAGGGCATTTACAGATTTGATTTGCATGTGGCAGTAACCTGACGTGTGCACCTGTGTGTCTGTACAGGAAGCCGTCCCACGGTGCAGTATGTGGCCTCACTTTCCGAGCTGCCTCAGGCTCTGCAGCCCTACTACACACAAGGTTATGTCCTGGCCGCCCTGCACCCAATCATCCTGTCCGTGGGCCGAACACGCTCGCTGCCCTTCAGCCTGCTGTACCGTGCCATCCTGGCCCGTCCCAGACCCAGGTACACGAATCTGAACCCTCTTTTAAACCTAAAGTGAAAGTTGTAAGAGACAGACAGAGTGGTTAGTCTGCTATGGTCCCATTTAAAGTTTGAATGGCAGCCAGTGTTTCCCACAGAATTAGGTTAGATTACGGTGGTGTTCTGACAGTTTGTAATACAGACTCAGGATGAGCTAGTAGCAGCAGTATGGATATTTATACTTACAAAAGGATAACGTTTCCTATTTGGTCAAACCTCTCCTCCGTCTTCATCTGTACTGGAATATGAGAACGATTAAAATAGCAGAGTAATGATGTCAGATAAGTTGTATGGGCATACACACTAAGTTCAGCCGGTTGACAAAGGACCGCACAGAGACATGTTCATTTCAGCAGCCCAGCGTTTCGACAGACATCTTCATCAGGGGCCGAGCATAGCACTCGGCTCAAAACCACTTTATAAATGCGCCGAAATGTTCAAACTTTACAAGGCATCCTATATGATAATCACTTCATTGGTAATCAAGTCATCATCTGTGTCACCGTGTACACTGACGAACACACCCACACAATAGTAAATAACAGTATAGAAACGAGGCCCGTTTTCCTGAGAGGTCTGCTTTTCTGGCCTGCCCTGCTTTACATCTCTCTGTATGGTGTCTAGCCCTAGCTAACCCTAACTCTAGCGCTAACTCTCCTGACAGCGCTCACCCAAATTCTGAAGGTATTTCCAAAATCCTCATAGACTCTTCCAATGATCCAGAAACAAACATAATCCTGGCCTGGTCCAGGAAAAATATTATTTTAATTCATTTCTCAGCTGTGGTCATTTCTTATCACATAAACAAAGATGGCAACAGGAAATGACGTTGTCTCCCTCATTCGAGCGCAGCACCTCCAGTGATCAGCTGTGATCATACCTGCACAGATGCAGTCTACGATGTACACTCCCTGACAAAAGTCTTGTCCTATAAGGACATAGTAACCTAAAATGTCATATAACTTTATTTCTAATCATTCAGTTGTCACAATAAATTAATTTTAATGTCAAGGGCATTAACATTAATAACTGGGTACAAAATGAAACCATTAAAAAGTGTCCTGATGTTCACAGCTTGATCAAGCCCATAACATCTGTTTCTGCAAGGACAAAAGTCTTGCTGTATCTTTAAAGGATTCAACCAATCACAGATTAGAGCGTCACCTGTGACAGATACTGTAATTAACACATCCCCAGGTGTGTATAAGAAGAACCCCAGCACACCCAACCTTCATTTGAAATGCAACCTGACCTCTGACAGCATGCCAAAGATTCAACCACAGACCAAAGTGCTGCTCATCAAGAGCCTGAAGACCAAGTCTCCTGCTGAGGTGGCAGACATCTTTAATGTATCTAAACGTCAAGTGGAGAGGATAAGAAAAAGATTTGAAGAAACTGGTGAAGTTCATGACAGGCCCAGGTCAGGCAGACCCCGTAAGACAACTGTTCGAGAGGACCGTTTGTTGCTTCGACAGTCCAGGGCCAGCCCTTTTTCAACTACAGCAGAGCTACATAAAAACTGGTCACCAGAAACCCCTGTATCTACAAGAACAGTTTGTCAAATTCTCTCACACAATGGTCTCAATGGCCGAATTAGTGCTCGGAAACCAGCATTAAACAGAAGACAACTAAAAAATCGTGTTGCATTTGCCAAGGCCCACAGCTTGCAGGAAGGATGGACAGTGGAAAAGTAGCAGAAGGTTGATTTTTCCAATGAATCATCATCATCCGCTGTATATCCTTCTTTTGAACTGCATCCCAATCATCACAAATACTGCAGAAGACCTATTGGAACCCGCATGGAACCAAGATTCACACAGAAAACAGTCAGGTTCATTGGAGGTAAACTCATGGTTTGGGGTTACATTCAGTATGGGAGCGTGCGAGAGATCTGCAGAGTGGATGGAAACATCAACAGCCTGAAGTATCAAGACATTCTTGCTGCCCCTTACATTCGTAAACTCATGGTTTGGGGTTACATTCAGTATGGGAGCGTGCGAGAGATCTGCAGAGTGGATGGCAACATCAACAGCCTGAAGTATCAAGACATTCTTGCTGCCCATTACATTCCAAACCAAAAGAGAGGGCAAATTCTTCACCATTGTGGCGCTCCTTCTCATACTTCAGCCTCCCGGAGGAGGCATTGAAGATGAACCCAAAGAATCTTGATGAACTCTGGGAGTCCTGCAAGAATGCTTTCTTAGCCATTCCAGATGACGTCATTAATTAAATTAATGAATAATAATTTAATTAATTAATTCAATTAACTTAATTAAGTTATTTGAGTCATTGCCGAGACGTATGGATGCAGTCCTCCAAGCTCATGGGAGGCATACACAATTCTGTACTGTACATTATGTTGTTATGCGACAAGACTTTTGTCTAAGCAAAGTCGGACCTTTTTGTCCTAATTAAATAATTCAAAATCAAGGAATGATAAGATTTTATTTTGGTAAAATAAGCATAATCTAGAGGCCTTTGCCTTTCATATAAGCCACTTCTGATTCCAAATGATCAACTAGAAGTCAAGTTATTATTTGTTGTTCCTACAACTTGGATAGGCGACAAGACTTTTGTCAGGGAGTGTAGAGGCACAAGCTGGGGCTGGAAGGAAACCAGCCGAGCCAATGGAAATGAAAAATCGCTGAGGTTTGACAGGTGGCATCAGATGACTGTGGCAGCAGAGGTGAACTGGGGATGGGAGTAGATAGCATTGTTATGCAAAACTAAATAGTTGTTAACCTCTTGTGTAATTGCTTGGACAGTAGCTGGTAGCATTGTCCTGATAAATGATTTATGTGTTGGTGTCTGAAGCTTGTGACAGTTACAAGCTGCGAACCCTCTGGATGGACAGGTTCAGTAGGTCTGTGCCACTAACACACAAACTCCCCACTGACCTGAACAGAGAAGACCATGTCAAACACACTGCTGAACATGTCCCACTGTCTAATAGATGTTCTGCCTGTCTGTGTGTTCGCAGTAAGCAGACAGCACCCATGTGTCACAGCGTGCCTGTGTTGAGGGTGGAGGAATGGCCGTTACCTGGAGACTCACTGACAGGCGACGCTGTCCGGGCGCTCATTGACAGAGTCAGTCACACTCTGACATTTATGGCAGCTGCTTATGTGTTGCTACATTCACTACCGGTCAAAAGTTTTAGAACAGCCCGAGTCCAGTGAAGAAAACGGTACAAAGCTAAGAACTGCCAGAGGTGAAATGTAACCAAAAACTAAGACTGTAGGTACATTTCATGTAAACCAGGCTTTTTTCAGGGATCCAGAAACAGGTTAAGTTCCATCTTTTCTGCAGCAGTGGAAGTAAATGAAGCCTCAAAAATGCAAACAGTTCCTACAGGTGTCCTGACCTACAAAAGGCAGAGTTGGAAAAGAGTGTACCCCCTGAAGTATCATTTGGAAAAAGGCCTTTAACAAAGGAAGTCACAGCTTCTCAGGGTTTCAACATGTAGTAAGATAATGAGCCAAAAACAGGCTGTGGAGAAGGAAAGAACCAGGCTGCAGACACAGCGGTAGAGTTGTGTTGCTTTGTGTGATGTTGAAGTAGATAGCTGTTTTTCTTTCTGGCAGGTGAACAGCAGCGCCCGAGGAGGCGTTCGCTTCATCGGCTCAGTCCTCCAGCAGGTGAGCGGGAGCACAAATGGCAGGGTCCACAGTCCAAAGAGGGGCTGTCACTCCCCTCCCCGCAGCCCTCCTTGTACCCCGCCTGGAGACAGGGAGCTGGAGGAAAACATCCACAGTCCGGGTGAGACCATTTCTGCTCTGCTTCCTTCTGTTCAGTCTGTCTGTGTCACCAGCAGTACTACAGTATTATCAGTGTTTTATATTATTATGAACAGAAATAAATGATAGTACGACATTCCCAAAGGGTTTCACTCAGTATCTACTGAGCCACTGACAAAAGTTAGTCAGGCACACATATTAATGTCACTAAACCACAGATCTACCCTCCTTCAGGTCTGCAGTTGTAAATGTTAATGAAGTGATTATACAACAGATCTATAAAGAATTAGTAAATGACTTAAATAAATCAGTTAATTACAGCCTATAAACTCTTTATCAGTGGTGCCTTATCAGAGAGAGATCCCAGTTTCACATTTTGGGAGACACCTCTGTGAAAGCCTCTGTTCATGCCCCTGAGCCTTTAACACCGTAAGAAATGGAAGTTAACGTCCAGCCCTGCTTTCTCCTTCCTTTTACATGCAGACCTGCGGTTGCTGGTCTTCTTCCACTCCTGGGCTCCTGGCTGCACTCCTCTGGACTCACTGGGCTGTCAGTACCACCAAGGGGCGCTCTCAATGCGCGTTTCCAGGAAGGGTCACGTGGTCAGCGCCCTGGAGGCCGACTGGCTGGAGCTGACCGCCACCTATTACCGCAAAGGGTGGTCACTTGTGGACTCCTTCGTCTACTGGGACACGCATAAAGGTTGGTTTAAGGTTGGAGTCACTGTGGCACCAGCAGTGGGTGTCTGTCCCCTGATGGACCAGTTCCCAGTTGGCTACGTAAACATTAGGTAAAAATAAGACTGCAACTAACTTACATTCACTAGTGATTTATGAATTACTTGTATGGTCTGCAAATGTGTGAAAAGTAGCAGAAACCTCAAGCTGGTGTTGCTTTTTGTCTCATTAATATTCCAAAGTTATAAAACATTCAGTTTACAAATATTAGATTAGATACAACTTTATTGTCATTACCCATGTACAAGTACAAGGCAATGAAATGCAGCTTAGCATCTAACCAAAAGTGCAACAACAGCAGTGCACATTGGCGAAGAAAATGCTGGGTAAAGAGAGCCGATGTGGTGTTAGCTTTAGCTTAGCTCTAACCCCTCTGCGCTTTCCACACCAGTAGTTGCTATATGTCTGTTGTACTTTGTGGTATATACAGTATGCTCTAATATAGCTAACAGTGAGTATTTCAGTGTTAGCCTTTTCTGTGACCTCAGTGGTGGAAAAAATACTCAGATCCCTCACTTAAGTAAAAGGAACAAGAAGAAGAAGCTTTATTTTATTGTCATTGTGACACATACAACAAAATCTTGTTTGGAGCCGAGGGCTGCTGCGTGCATAGGCGCTGCCATCACGGGCAACTTGGGGGTTCAGTGTCTTGCCCAAGGGCACTTCAACATGTGGACTGCGGGTACTGAGGTTCGAACCTTCAAGCTTTTGGTTGGGAGACTACTGCTCTACCCAGCGCGCAACTGTAAAAGTACAAAGTACTAGCATCAAACATACTTAAAGTACTAAAGGTACTAATGCATAATGGCACATTTAACAATGAATATGATATGATTTGATTATAATTTCTGATATCGAGTTCATCACATTTAATGTTGCAGCTGGCAAAGCTGGAGCTAGTTTTAAGTATCTTATACGCTTATAATTTGAAATACTTTATGTTCTTCTGGGTAGCTTGTGAATTTTCCACCAGAAATCAATAAAGTTTTACATTTGTACCGTAAATTTTGTATTGACCAGGTTTTGAAAAGAAACTAGTAATTAAAGTTATCAAAAATGTATTTCGAGTAAAGAATACAAGATTTGTGATTGTGGATTTGTATATAAAACCAATGGAGAAGCAGGAATAAGCGTGTTTTTATTTGGCATTTTAGCTCATGCTGTATAAGAACCGCCTGCTTAATAGATGATTAACTGTCAATCAATTAAAGGTTTCAGCTCCAGTCAGGACAATTAGCTTTTTGTCTTTAATACCAGAATGAATAGTTTTCCTTCAGTTAACCATATGATGATGAATGTGGCATGAAAAGTGCTGTTAAAAATGGTTCTTAAAGATACAAAGACAAATATTTGACCTTTTAACATTTCTTCTTCATTGACTCAATTAATGCATAAAGTGCAACAGTGTATCGTGTTTCACTTGATTGCTTTTCTTTCAGATCTTCCACAAATATTAGCTTGTAAATAAAAGTGAAGAGCAGGAAGATGTAGATGCAAAGGGTTAACTAGTGTTGGTCATTCTTCTTCTGCCCTTTGCATTTTTATCTTTTCTCATAAAATCAGTCGCTTCCTGTTGTGGCGTCTCTCCCCCACTCCTTTATTTGGAGCCGTCTGCCCAACCTCGCTGATCTCACGTCCAGTTCCTCTGCAGAGCAGCAGACATCAACTGTGGAGTTAATGGGAATATATCCACTCACTGGCCACTCTACAATTGTATCCACTTCAATGCAACACGTCTACCTGTTCAACATGTCTCAGTTTTTGGTGAGATTGTCGTACATGTATAAATTCAGTGTTTATTATTGAGGTCATAGTTAAAGGCAGTGTTGAACTGGACTACATTATATTCAAGAAGTGTTCCTAATATTCGGACCCTCTCATGTCTGTAGCTGGGAAGGACAAAAAAATAGACACTTCCAAATATAATGTAGCCCAGTCCAACACCACCTATGTTTATAACTATGAGCACAACTATAACTGTTTAGGACAATTTCACCAAAAACTGAAACATGAGCTTCATAAACACGGATGTTAAGGCGGAAGTGTTGCATTGATGTGCATACTATTGTACAGGTGTACCTAATAAAGTGGCCAGTGAGTGTACACTCATACTGTGATGTTTGCACACAGACAGCAAGACAACACTCCATGAACACATGGGAACTCACAAACCTGTTTCTAATAACTGGGCCATTACCAGCTCACTGACATCCCCTAACTGTCATGGTCCCTCTGCACAGACTTCAGCACAAATGTTTTTAATTTGACACCCAACAACTTTCTGTCACTGGGTTTATCAGGCACTGTGGAATATCTTAGTTAATGCACCTTTAAACATGTGTTGGATAATTGTCCTGTACATCTGGATTCTAACATGCCAGCATGGTTTTTGCACACGTGTTCCAGTCAAATTCTGTGTGTGCTTCAGGTGAGCCGGTGCCCAGGTCTCTGGAGGGGTTGTTTGTGTATGAAGAAAGAAGCACTTCTCCTCCCCCCAACGACACCATCGTCGTAGAGCAGTGGACTGTCATCGAGGTCAGTAACAGGCTGAAGAACCTCAACGTGATGTGAAAATGAATGTGTCCTGAATCGAGCGTGCAGTGCGACAGGGTAGCACACGGTAAATTCACCAAAGCTACAAAAAACATCATCTCATGTAGCTGCAGCCGTTCTGGGCCTGTGCAGATACCAAATTTTGTTTTTATACATCAAAATGACAAAATTAACAAAGATTTGCTTTTTTTAACAGAGTGAACGTAGAGAGGGAGGCACAAGGTCCCCGACATGGTCCACTTATGTTTGTGCACACAGATGCCTCTAGCCTCACTAGAGTGACTTCACACATCCTGTTATTGAACCTGTCACAAGTGTTTCAGCTAGGGTCACAATAGCATGAACCAACAACTGAGATAAAGAAAAAATGGCACCCACTCAGGGTAGCTCACATCGTCTGGAGTGTATGTCTGTGCAGGCAGTTCTTATACAGCATGTGTATGTATTGTGTTTACATCCAGGGCTCCAGTGTGAAAACAGACTATGGGCCCCTCCTTCACACTCTGGCCGAGTTTGGCTGGCTGCTCACATGCGTGCTGCCCACACCCATCATCCGACATGACAGGTATCTGCGGCACCCTCTGTACACATCATATCGTTCTGACAGACGTTTCACTGCTTTAGTGTGTGCTGTATTAATACCATTTTTAAGCCTGTTCCATAATCTGTGTTTGTGTGTAGTGATGGGAACCTGGCCACAAAGCAGGTTGTGTTTCTCCAGAGGCCGGTCAGGAGTCAGGCAGGAGGACAGCCAAGGAACCAGGTGAGCCTCTCACACTCTCAGCTACAGTCAGCCTGCATGTCTGTGGACTGCGGGAGGAACCCATCCATGGATGAAGATGTTTTTACTGTAGGCTGTAGTCGCAGGGAAAACGCTGCCCTCTGGTGGACAAAGTCAAAACTGCACTTCACATGCTCAGACTCAGGTTGCGGCTCAGTGAGGGTGAACACAGCAGTGGTTGCTGAGACATCCGTGAAAAACTCCAAACCACAAAATTTATTCTGAGACATGTTTTGATCCAAGTCAGGTCAGAGTGCTTAGAAATAGACAGATCAGCAACTTGGTGTTGCCTCCTCGTTTTCTCGTCCATGCTATGCAGATGCAGATATTCTGTGACTTTATTCTGCATTTTAAGATTCTTTTTGTACATTTTAATGTTCTGACAGTATTTTCTTAAATTTTATTTTGTATTTCTACTCTGAGACCAACCTTCCTGAATCATCACCCTGGGGAAATCATAATTTCCATTTACAAAAGCCAAATACTGAACACATTTCATGGCTCAGTCAGAGTGCAGTCACAACTTCTACTACTACACTAGACACCGCTTGTCCGTCGCGCTTCTAAAAGATGTGTATTATCATTCCTTCAGTCACTGAGGCTTGTGAACATTTTTTTGGAACAAACTCCAAAGAGCTTGTCTCTTGGTATCAAAACCCCAGTTAGAAAGCCTGAGTACAGTGGAAATGTCAGAAGTAGTCCCTGGAGCTTAGTTTGAGAAATACACATAGAACAGGTATTGTTCAAAATGTTACGTATTTGTAGTCAGGATCTAAAATTGGACCCAACAGCTGTTTGCCTCCTGTCTCCAGGCTCTGTCCGTGCACAGCGACGTGTCTAGTGCTGCCCTTCCAGAGGAGCTTTCTCCCACTGCAGGAGGCACTGTGGGCTTTCCGGTGTTTGGGGGGAGGTATCCCAGCACCCTGCCCCACCTGGAGGAAGGTGGCTTTGAGCAGGAAGAGGGGAAGGCTGAGGTCACCTGCATGTGAGCAGGAAAACAAATGGATGGAATTGTTCCCCAGGAGTGAAGTTCAGGACACATAAGTCACAGTAAAAGGCATGAAACCATTGGTCCTCGCATTCCTTCGAACAGACTTTAATGTGGACCACAGCACTTTTTAATGTTTTTAATGAAGCCATAACAAGGTGTTCTTTAGAAGTGGATCTACAGTGTGTCCAGATCAAAATTAGTCTACGGGAGACACTTTACACAGATTTCAATCCATTTGAAGTGATTGTCAAACTTCTGATCAGTTCAGATGTTCATATGGAATTAGTACAGCACATTTACTCAGATTGCTGCACATTATGGACACAACAGTGGTGGTAAAAGCAGGCACACGGGGCTCTACTGTTTCATCTGAATCACCACTGAACATTTTATTGGCATTACATCACAGCTTAAAACATTCTGCTACAGATCCCTCACCTCTCCTCATCTCTAAGACACTTCAGTGTCACAGCTTAAAACATTCTGCTAAAGATCCCTCTCCTCATCTCTAAGACACTTCAGTGTTTTAGCACCTTCCCTCTTACCTTCTTGTGCATGAAGACGGTACAGGTGGGCGTCTCCTTGCCTATAGACTGAGGCTGCATGGGAGTGTTCAGTGAAACTGGTACAGTTGGTACTGACAGTACACAGGCAGGCATCTGTTCACACCCTCCACATGTTCAGTCAGAATCATTCTGGAAATGGTCATGGCCCTTCATGTTTCACGGTATAATTTTAATCTCTGAAAAGACTAACTGGTTGGTTTAGAATATCCATCTGGTTAAGCCTTCTGTTGGACCTCCCAGTCGAGACAGGTCCAAACGGGGCTCGGTACTGGTAACACCTCTGCTATGTTCACATACAAACCTATTATATTGAAATGTATTTTTAAAGGGAATTCCACCAATTTGACACATCAAAATCTGTTTTTGGTTCTTGGAAGGTACTGCTGCATATGTGAATAATGCTTTATTTGACTAGTCCATAAATTCCACTGTATTTCTAAATAATCTCATGAGCTTTCCTGGAAAGATCCTACTCATTTGGTACTAACTGCAGGTAAAATGGAGTGATCGGTTTGTATGTGTCCAGTTATTCACAAATGCTAAGCGATGACAGCAGGGAGCTACACATGCTAGCAGTGTCTGCAAATACACAAACAGCACACGAATCAAGATAAATGAAGTAAATCAATGACTAATACATAATCTCTGGGATTTAAAAGGAGCCATTTATTTGACAAATTAATATGCAAGCCAATATGAACAGTTAACTGATCTAACAGTCTCAGACCCCTGTGTCTGTTTGCCTATAGTTGGTACCAAACTACAGGTTTCTTCACAGAAATCATAAGGAAATAATGGACAATAATGCAAAATAAGGAAATAATGTTTTTTAAAGCTGTGTTCTGCATGTGACAGTGTTCCACACTCCACCGATTCCACCTGAACTGGTGGAGCTCTCGTTAAGCTATGTAAGGGAAAACCTTTGTTTCTTAAAAAGGATGTTGCTTATTATGTTAGTCTTCATTACTACTAATCTAGGTTTCTAATTGTGATGCTTGTTTTTGCTTTGGGGCGAGGAAAAGGTCAAATGTGGGGCCACAGCTAACGATTCATCTGCAGATTTTTCTCGAATGGCAGTCAGGGGTAGAGATTCTAACTATGGGTCTCATTGGCGCTGCAACTAATTATTTTTATTGATTAATCTCTCTGCTATAAACAGCAAATTGTTAAAAATACTGTTATAATGTTCACAGTGACAACTTCAGATGCCCAAAAATGTTAAATATTTTAACTGTGTGACAAAGAAAAGCACCAAAATTGATTTAGAAGCTAGAAACCGCAAATACTTGATAAAAACAAACAAATGGATAACTTTCAGTTAAACGACTAATTGTTGCAGCTCTAATCAAGCTCTAAGTGTAGATTAGAAATAGTTACATACACACCACCCCAGTGAGAGACAGACGTTTTAAATGGATGTATTTCACCACACAGTTTTTTGTATTGTATTAAAAACTTACAGTATTGTGCATGGTTTCAAGTCTTGTTAACAGAATCTTCCACAGCATCCATTCAGAAACACTGCCTCCACATCCAGATGAATAACAAGTCTTTTTTTATTAACAGACATCATGAAAATGTCAACAGTAACAAAATTTTAAGTCAATTAAAAAAAAAAAAAAAAAGAGTGGGTTGGATTGACAAGACTCCTCCCACAAAATAACTTAACAAGGGCGAAAGAGGGAGGTTGTCCTCCGATATTTAAATGTAGCCATTATTCGCTCCTTCCTCACGGTACTTAATCAGAACAAAGCTTAAAGTGGTAAAAACTGGCTTACAGCAGCTCAGCCTCTGACCATAGTTTCAACTACTACTCTGCCAAGAAAGACGAATATCGGACACATTTTCCACAGTATGAAAACGGGGGCGTGCCACAAAGCAGGATCAGAGTTAGCCGACTCTGAAACGTCACTTCAGTTAGCCAAAGAGAGAACACCTGACTGCTAGTACATGTACAAAGTTAAAGATTATGTTTCTTTGCTCACTACCACACAAGCCACACAGCTACATTGTTTTAATCGCATTATTAAGTCAGCAGGCTAATTTAGTGATCCACTCGATGGGACACCCCCACAACAGGTAACACAAGCGAAGAGAGAACAGAAGCAGATGCAAAGAAAAGCACCATCAGAATACATGACAGTGAATGAAAAGAGGGGGTGGGGGTAATATATACAAAAAGGGAGGCTGTCAGTGTGTGCCTTTGTCAACAACACAGTTCACCACGATTACACAAGTTTCTGCAAATCCAGCTGCTAAAGGAAGATGAAAGAAAAAGGTCTGTAAGAGTGAATCTGAGCCCAGACAGTAAACAGAGAGAATCTGATCCTCTAGGCAGGGCTGAACTCCACTGCCAGCTTCTTTACCTTTACTGCAGGTGACCAAGGACATGGACAGGAGCCTTAATACACTGTAGTGTACATATTTTTATGTGTGTGTGTGTGTGTGTCCTGTGTATGCAGGTGTGTGAACGGGTCTTCTCTGTAATGTCAACATGTGATTGTTTACATGTCTCCCTTGTGACAGCAGCAGCTGTATCTCAGGCCTCGCTCTCCCCAGCCGATGGGGTGTTCTGCACCTCCTCCTCCAGGATGGGCACAATCAGGTTGTCCTTGGACATCAGGTTGTACTTCATGACAAAGCGTGTGAACCGGTGACACAGGAATGTTTCATTCTGTACACAAAAAACCAACAATGAAACTCCGTGCCATCATTTATCGCCACTTGGCAGTTTAACTGCACTCGATTTAGCAACTTTCTAATTGTTTCATGCTTTGACGGAGGTTATACAGAGTTGTAAACAAGTGACAAGGAGGTTCAGATGGTAACAAATGAAAGGAAGCTGCACAATAACTGAGTGGAAACACAAACTGCTGGGGTCACTGATTAATCTGCTGATTACTGCCTTGATTTTTTATTTACAGAATGCCAAGCATCAGTAAATGCATATTTTGACTTTTTAGAGTCAAAACTGGTGTCTTCAAATGTCTTATTGTGTCCGACCAACAAGCCTCTGAAATGTAAAGTGTCACATCATGTCTATTTTCTCTAGTGTCTACAGAGTGCTAATGTAAACTGGCAACGAATAATCACTGGACCAGTGCAATAATTTGTCCTGTGGATCTGGGAGAATGTGAAAAAAAATACTACTTGTGGGAGTTCTGTAAAACACACAATCTTTTTAGGTGCATTTCACCTTTTCCAATGAAACCTACCTCATACTTGTCAAATATCTGGCGGTGATGGAAGTAGGCATGAGAGAATATCCTATAGATGCGACGACAGACGGAGCCCAGTTTGGCCACCGATGACTCCTTGATGCTCACCCTGGAAAAACAAATCAGACTGAACAGCTGTAGCTACTGAATGCAAAGCAACAGGGCTGTAGCATCATGGTGATCCTCCCAGCTGTTCAAAGAGCCACCCCAATCGCTATGGTGGACCGCTGCCTGTATGAATGAAGATGCACTAGCAGGTATCAGTCACTGTGCTTATACAGTGGGTACAGAAAGTATTCAGACCCCCTTAAATTTTCCACTCTTTGTTATATTGCAGCCATATGCTAAAATCATTTAAGTTCATTTTTTTCCTCATTAATGTACACACAGCACCCCATATTGACAGAAAAACACAGAATTTTTTACATTTTTGCAGATTTATTAAAAAAGAAAAACTGAAATATCACATGGTCATAAGTATTCAGACCCTTTGCT